GGGATGATTTTTTGGGTGTGTTTGAATAAAGATAATTAGAGTGTTTAGCTTGAGAATATACAGACAAATAATACAATAATATTTTTTTTTCTTTCTTTGTTTTGATTAAAGAAAAACATGTCAAATGATATTTTTGTTTGCTTGTTTGTTTGATTATTTGAGTAAAGAGAAGCACAAAAAAAAGGAAAATTTTCATTTAGTTTGGTTTAAGTTAAGAGATGCACATAAAATAAATTTTTAACATTTCTTTCTCAAATTTCCCTTGTTCCCATCCGTGCATGAGCTCACCTGAAGTGGTCATAAGAGTACTGCTCCAGTGTGTGACAGTGTCACCATCGCTAGATCACAGACGCAGGTACCCACTCCCAACACTCCCCTTCCCCCATCCGTGCATTTACTCACCTGAAGTGGTCGTAAGAGTACTGCTCCAGCGTGTGTAACACAGCAGACTTGGACTCCCTGGGCACATCCTCCTCTGCCTGGAACTGGTCGTTGAGTGAGCCCGACTGCATAAACAGGTTCTGGGGGGGGGGACCAAGTCACATCATGATCAAATCAAACACTGGTCAGGCATCCAATTATGCTGTCATATTTTAACATTTACAGCACCGAAGAGGGTGCAGTGGCCAAGTGGTTAGTGCGCTCATCTCCGAAGCGGAAAGTAAAGGTTCGAACCTCGGTTCGGACACAGATTTTTTTTGCCCCATCCTACCCCCCTAGCAGTAATAGGTACCTCACTTCGAGTTGGGGAAGTAAAGACAGCGTGAAAAGGAACTGGCCACCCTACCACAATATGCAGAAGGCCCAGGAAGTTGTCTCACTGACAAGGCAATCCCCAATGTCCGGATCAGATGAGGGAACAACTTTACTTTGCCGTACTGAAGGCTCATATAGTAAAAAAAACAAAAAAACTAAGTACCACACCAGTTTAAAACACTAAAGCCATGGTAGAATTATTTTTTTATTAAAAAAACCTTCACAGCCAAAGAAACACGCGAAAAAAATTCAGTGTTTCATCAACCATTCAGCTATCGCATAGAGTGACTTCCTTTGGTATTTACTTCAGAGCAGTGCATCTGTTTGTTGTATAATTATGTTTGCTGTGCCTGGTCGAGTTGGTGATTAAAGTCTCTAGCGGTAATGAGCACGGCCTGGCGACAAGTTGGCGATGGAGCTAAGAGTGTCAAGTACTGTTCTGCCGTCATGGGGAAAACGGACGAATATCGCGACATACCCATTTTCCAGGAGGGCCAAAAAAATCAAATTTATTCGTCTCACGTATAAAAAGTTGGTTTTTTATTTTACTTTTATCTTGCTTTTTTGCAGGAGGAAG